AGAGGGCGCTCCTATTCCCATTGAGGGGCTCGTCGGCGAGGAATCCGCCGCCTCCGGAACGGGCGGAGGGAGAGGAGGAGCAGGAGGAGGAGGGGGTGGAGGTGGCTGCGGGGGCGGGGGCGGAGGAGGAGGAGCGGTGGTCGACGATTCTGCCGGAGCTTCTGGGAGACATCCTGCGGAGGGTGGAGTCGAGCGACCGGCAGTGGCCGCTGCGGAAGAGCCTGGTATCTTGCGCTTGCGTCTGCCGGAGGTGGCGCCAGGTCACCACCGGCGTCGTCGGGCCGCCCAGGGAGACTGGGACGATTACCTTCGCTGCTTCCCTCAGGCAGGTAGGTTTTTGATTTCGAGAACCCTTTTTGCTTCTCCAAATTTCTACTTTCCCGCCTCCGCATAAGAACTGGGGTAGATGTCTTTGTGCTTCTACCGGCTTCCCTCGAGCAGGTAGGCTTTTGATTTCAATAATTATGCCGCTGTATAAGAACTGAGGTCGGACCCATTATGCTTCTACCTGCTTCCCTCAAGCAGGCAGGTTTTTCATTTCAAGAATTATGCTTCTCCAAATTTCTATTTTCCCGCCCCTATAAGAAATTGCTTGTAGAAATTTGCTTAATTTAACATAAACTGAACTCTTTTGCTTAATTTTAATTCAAGAATTATGCTTCTCCAAATTTATCTCCCCGATTTTGCTGTGTACGTTAAAATTGATTCTTTTATAGAAAATTGCTTAATTTAACACGGACCAAACTATACTTCCTGATTTATGCTTATATTTCTGTTCATTTTTTACAAGCTAGGGGATATTTAGTACAAAAAATATGTGATTATGGACACTTTTAATGGCAGCCCGGGCCGAGGGACCTTCCGATTCAATGCTATATCAAAAGGAACAAAAATAACAACACGTTCTGTCTGTACCTCAGCTTGACCCATAGTAAGTGATCTTCAGAAGATTGTTGTTATCAAGGATGTATTTTGTGCCGTGGATTGATCTTTGTCTGCTATTTGGTTGCTATTAGTTCTTACGAGTAATCACTTGCCAATTCTTCATTGTTGATTAGTCTTCAAAATGGACTTTGACTTGGCAGTTCTAGTTAGTTGAGCATTCACTACTCCGAAGCATATACTTGTTATCAAAAGAAAAGATGAAAGGAAAGGATAGGCATGAAGACCTTGTAGTTGTGTTCTATTGACCAAGTCTTATTAGGCATAAATATGTTACATATTAGTCCAATTGCTGAGCATAAAGATATATTGTCAAACCTTGTCACCATCTTATGGGCCGCTTGCCACTTTTTATTGTACAAGTTGCTTATAAAATATGTAGCTCAAGGACAGATTCCCAACAGGTATACGCCATGCTGGCATATCTTTCTCTCTATAGATTGACTAAGTCAACTCATTTGATGATGGAAAGTTGTGGATTGGTGATTTACAATATCACTGGTGATAATCTGCATCAATTTGTAGTGTTTTAAATACAAAATGCTAGCTGCTTTGCAATTGTAAGACAAACTAAAAAAGGGGATGAAACTTCTTTTTAGAATTTTGATGTCAGATAGCAACGTTACATATTTCACATACAACTTCTGTGTGCATTTTTGAACTTGAGCAACTCTAGTTGGCTTGTTTACAGAGTTCGTTTCCCTTCTTGGAGAAAAATATTGTAAATTATTCTATCTAACTTTTTCAATTTATTATTCTCTAAGTTTCATATAATTTTCAGATATAAACCATCTAACTTTTGCAAAACTTGCTTGAAGTGACTGTCAAATATCATGATTGTATTTGTTTAAACTTTGTTAAAAAAATATCTTCTTCAATTGTTTGGTAATTCTCTTGCATCAAAGTCTTACAAACTTTTAGGTGAGAAATTTCAAATTTACGGAGAACAATGCATTTTGTTGTTTCACGAGAATACTGTAAGAGTTTGGAACATGAACTGGTGGTTTAATCTTGCTTGATACTTTAATGCGGAACCGATGCTTGTGCTAATTCAGTATATTTCGTTAATGCCATGCTTTATATTCAAAATGATAGTTTACATGGTTGTTTCTGTTTCACTGGGAATCTTTGATAACTTTTGTTGCATATTTTGTTACTTACCTTCCAGCATTCATGGATAAGGGAAAATTTCTGTTAGCGGCTCAAAGGTTTAGGCATCGTGCTCATGTAGAGTACATCATCTCTCTTAACGCTGATGACATGTCCCAAAGAAGCAATGCATATGTTGGAAAATTGAGGTATGTCATTAGCTAACTTTTTTGTTGTCCTTATACACTCATATTGAGCATTTCCTTGTACACACATATTGAATATGCTAATATTCTTTTGGGTACTGCAACAAGAAGAGTTTTAAGCATTATATCCTTGTGAGATGCTATGTTTTTGTACATGTCTCCAAAAAAGTGACTAGACATTTGTTTGACCAATTTTCTTATGTTAGTTACATGTCTTTGTTAATAATGCATAACTACATATGGAAACTGCAAAGTGCAAACAATTTAATTTTTATTGTGAGAGCTTGTTAGTAATCTTAGCACTTATACATACTTTTTTCCAACTGATGAGGTCTCCATTTGTGTCAGCATGGTCAAACCAAAATTTTGATAGCATCTGTAACTTCTCTTTTCTCCCCTTTTTTTCATTAATGACCTTGTACATTGATACAACATATGATGGCATGGTATCGCGCATGGATTCTGGATGACTTGCTATACGCTCGATTATCTTCTAGCATTATCTAAAAGAAACTCTTGAATGTTGGGAGTTTTAAGTTAATTTTGATGACTTTGTACTACTAATACGACTCAGGTGCAGCTTATGGCCTTTAAGATTGGTGACAACAATATTTTAATGTAACTATCTAGCATGAATATACAGGAATTCAACCACAAAAATGCTTAAGACAGTTCTGATTTATTTCTAACGACACTTGCAATTTCAACTTGTGTTGAACTGTGTTTATATATATCTAATAATGTTAATGGCAACTCCTTTCCCCCTTCCCCAAAAATACTATGCCAGTTCCAAATCTTTTAGAAAATTGGTTCTCCAATATTTATTTGCTTCCATGAATAGTGATAATTTATCGTCTCTTTTTAGCCAACTACAAATGAACTCTAAATATTTATCATTCTCCTTTAACACTTTAATTAGCCATTCATGTAATTTGTTTTGGTGGATTGCATATCTGCCATATCTTGTATGACAAGAGCACCAACTATTTCATTGCAGGTGGTCCATTTTGCTGAGTCTTTATTTCCTGAATATTGGACTGTCTTAAATTGAATCTTCAATTTTCAACTGAATTTTATATTGTCCAGAGAGGATTCATAGTTGTTCCCATTTTCTCAACTTCTGCTGGAGACTACATTTTTCCAGATTTGAATATATCTATGTTGTCTTCTGCAGATCTGATTTCTTGGGCCTCAATTTTAAGATCTATGACAGTCAACCGCCATTTGATGGTGCCGAGCCATTGACCAACCGAGTGAGTAGACGTTTTGCCAGCAAGCAGATTAGCCCACAGGTCCCAGCTGGTAATTTTGAGATCGGCCAGGCATCTTACAAATTCAATCTCCTGAAAACCAGAGGGCCCAGAAGAATGCTGTGCACACTGCAGTGCCCAGCCGAAAATTCGCGCAAAGTGCATCAGAAGATACCCAGAGCCGATGCCTCTGGATCAGATGCTGGATCTGTGGTTCTGAAGAACAAGGTGCCAAGGTGGCACGATCATCTGAAGTGCTGGTGCTTGAACTTCCATGGTCGTGTTACTGTTGCCTCGGTGAAGAACTTCCAGCTGGTGGCATCATCAAATCCTAACCGAGCAGGGGACGGCGCCGTTGATGTTTACGAGCCCGTGCTACTTCAGTTCGGGAAAGTAGGGGATGACATGTTCACCATGGACTACAGGGAACCACTCTCGGCCTTCCAGGCATTTGCTATCTGCCTCACCAGCTTCGGCACAAAGTTTGCTTGTGAATAGAACCCTTTCTTGCTATAGAATTCTGTTGTGCGCAGCATACTTACCAGAGCAGCCATGTAGTTCTGGACTTGGATTATTCCTGGTGTCTAGTGATATCCCATTCCCAAAACTCAAAGTGGTGTACTTTGCTCTTGAACTTGCTGGGATGCTGAGAGGTACATTTGAAATTATTCATATATTGAGATAATATCGAGGATTCTTATGATGAGCTAATCACATAACAGTAACAATACATTGCGTTAATGCCAACAATTATACACTATATATATGCATACACACACACACATAT